AGGAGGGGATGGACCAGGGTAACGACGAAGGTTTTCAGGGTTAGACCTAAGGAACGTAAGGTCTTTATTGTTTAAAGTCTGGGGCTCAGAAATTCCACAAATATCCCTAAAGAAGCAGGCATAAATGACTGGTTAACGGAGTCACGCTCAACTTTGGAGGGATAAGGTAAAACAAACCAAAAAAAAATTGTTGCAGAAAAAATTCTCATATAAAAACCAAAGTGCTTTCCCCTTTTAAGGAATAAAAATGCTGAACGACCGTACACCCACTCTGCTGGCCATCTGTGCAAACTTGAATTGTTCCCTGGGGCTTCCATAAAGATATCTAGGTTTTCCTTGCTAGGGTTGACCCCTAAAATTCCCGGGAGGAAATCCTACCTCTAGCTCAGCTGAGCTTAGAAAAGCTTAATGCACCAGAATGTGAATGACTAAAAATGGAATACTCAATAATAGCCAGCTTGTAACCAAAAATAATGTCATGTAAAGGGAAGAATATGCCCATTAAAAACTAGATTTGGTCACAAAAGCAAAGATCAGCCAACAGCTACCTCAATTTGAAATAATGTTTAGCACACTACACCTCCAACCTTGCAATGAAATAATATAATCTTTTTCATTTTCGATGTGATAAAATCATCTGTCATGAAATTTAATTGACATCTAATGGACTGCAATCACAAAACGTATGTAAATATAACTTTGAAACTTGAATGAATAAAAACAAACATCCACTTAAATATGAAAGTGTACATCTGTCAGAGGATAAAAATTAAGGTAGCTTGATGATTATCGACTCTACTTTGTGTCACTGGCTAAGTCAAAATTACATTTTTAACCCAATGGCCCTTACCATAACAAATACATAGTGTGAACATAAGGTTTATATGGGATTTGGCATTGCAGTGAACTCTCTTTTAACTAAACATGCGATCTGGAGTTGTAATAGATTAATCTTGTCATTTCAGTTTGTTAAGTTTTTTTCTGCAATGGACTATTCACAATTTGCCTTTCTTGAGATCAAATCAATAGTAATCTTTTTTCTGAAACAGACACATTTCCCCATTTTCTATTTCCGAATTTTCTAGGTGCAGTTTCTTTTCCTAATTCTGCCTACAATTCTAACTTCCTAGTCATCAGACTGCAGGGGACTCCAACTAAACTATAAGGTAGCTAGAGTCGCCTTTAATCATTTGTGGCAAATTAAATACAGTCTCTCAAATTATATCTTATAAACGGAATGTGGGGGGGGAAACTTTTTTTTCCCTTGAACTAGAAGATGAAATGGGAATGGTAAAAAACAGTTTGAACTGTCAAAAATTCTGGAACATTGGGGAAGGACACCGTACTCAAAAATAAAAGGGGGGGGAGGTCCTAGGGTCCCGATTCTCTCTGCCTGCACCCCCGCACCCCAGGGCCGCGCGAGCGCTCAGGGAGCCCCTCCTCGGGGACTGGGGTTCAAGTGAGGGCAGTGGCCCTGCCAGGCTCTGAACACGGTTTCCCTGCACAGAATTTGGGGAGAACACCAGTTTCCCCCCGCCCCGGCCTCCGGGGCTCCGTCGGGGGACCCCAAGGTCCCGCCGCGCCCCGCGCCTCCACCCGCACGCCCCCTGCCCCGGAAGCGCCAGCGCCACGCGGAGATCCCGGGGGTTCCTCCCCGCCAGCCGCCAGGTCACGCCGCCGCCCGGCCCTCCCCTTCACCCTCCGCCCTCGGCGCGCGCCGGGCTCTTCCCGTCCACCGGCCGAATCCCCTCCTCCTCCTCCTCGG